ACTCATAACTTTGTCAAATCTTAACCATTTTACATGGTCAGGCCACCGGTGGAATCACCGGACTGAGTGCTATGTCACCACAAGCAACTGGTCACATAACTACCGGTTGAAAAATCCCGGTCACAATGGTCTAGATATCATATATCCTCTGACTTTGTGACTTTCTCTTGTAAGGCTCCTAACTTTGTCAAATCTTAACTATGTTACATGGTCAGACCACCGGTGGAATCACCGGATTGAGTGCTATGTTACCACAAGCAACCGGTCATGTAAATACCGGTCAAAAAATACCGGTTGCAATGGTCTAGATACAATATATCATAATATCCTCTAAATTTATGGCTTTCCCTTGTAGGGCTCATAACTTTGTCAAATCTTAACCATTTTACATGATCAGACCACCGGTGGAATCGCCGGATTGAGTGCTATGTTACCACGAGCAACCGGTTACATAAATACCGGTCGTTGTTGCACCCCATAATACCGGCCCACCCGTCTCCATTGCACCCTATCATGCCGGCCCACCCGTCTTCATTGCACCCCATATCACCGGCCCACTCGTCTTCATTGCACCCTATATCACCGGCCCACCCATTTCCATTGCGCCCTATAATGCCGGCCCACCCGTCTTCATTGCACCCCATATCACCGGCCCACTCGTCTTCATTGCACCCCATATCACCGGCCAGCTCGTCTTCATTGCACCCCATATCACCGGCCGACTCATCTTCATTGCACCCAATAACACCGGCCGACTTGTCCTCATTGCACCTCCTTTACCGGCCCACCCGTCTCCATTGCACCTGCTATACCGGCCCACCTGTCTCCATTGCACCTGCTATACTGGCCCACCCGTCTCCATTGCACCTGCTATACCGGCCCACTCGTCTTAATTGCACCATATTTACCGGCCCACCCATCTCCATTGCACCTGCTATACCGGCCCACTCGTCTCAATTGCACCCTATTCTCCGGCCCCCTCGTCTTCATTGCACCTTATGTACCGGCCCACTTGTCTCCATTGCACCTCATTTACCGGCCCACTTGTCTCCATCACACCCCAGTTCCCCGGCCCACTCGTCTATATTGCACTCCATTCCTCCGGCCCACTCATCTATCACACACTGGATTCACTACTACTATTCATAATTTCCTATATAGTACATTGCTATACTACCATCTATACTATATACACCCGGCCCATCCGTTTGCCTTGGACACTCCACCCCCTCAGCCCACTCGTCTAACACGGTACAATTATTGCCATGGGCCGGCACCGGGTGGCCCGTCTCTATTGGTACATTGTCACGCCCGGCTGCCCGTCTGAGACGGGTATATGTTACTGCATTATGTGTGACAACAAGGTAAACTTGTGTCCAGAGAAGGAGCAAAGTCCTACAGAGAATTCCCACTAGCAGAGACAGCGGGAAGACAAGTAATATTGATATGTTTTTATATACTTCTATGTAGGAGGCAGTGACTAGTTAGTCCTTGGTATGAGGCTATGTACCGAGCGTAATTTGTAAGTAGACACAGGTGAAAAACATAAGTCGGGGCGGATATCAATATGTACATGTCAGATCAGTTAGTCGAGTGGTTATAGAAAGTACTGGTGATCTGGGAAGTAAGTGTTATGTGCGAATGGGGAAAGTATATACCTAGATGGGGAAGGAGTTTACAGTAGGGTGGAAACGATGTGGGAGGTAACCAACGAGGCAGTTGAGTGGAACCATAGGAGCAGATGCAGGAGCCGACTGGGTTGGGTGGAGGGTGGACGGAGCGGAGGTGGTGTCATATACCTGATCCGACCACTCCAATATTGATATCCACTCCACTTTCCGACCCCCTCCACTCCATCCATCCTCCGCTCTGTCCAACCACAAGTCTGCATTCCGCTCAACCGCTCAACCATTCCCCTTCCATAACCTCTCCATTCAACTGGACCTCTTTCCCCTTTTAGATATATACTTCTCCCTTTAGTACATAGACCCTTACTTCTGGACGACCGGTAATTCCTATTACCGCTCAATTACTGATCCGACGCATACATATTGATATCCGCTCCGACTTATGTCTTCGCCTATGTAAAGTACTTACAAAATATATCCTTGGTACATAGCTTTACTACATAGTTATCCTGATCACTGCCTCATACATAGAAGTATATAACATATCCTGTACTTAGATATTTTTCCTCAGTCTTAATATTACTTGTCTTCTCGCAGTTATATCTTGTGAGAATTCTCAGTAGGACCCTGCCTCCTCTGGACACAAGTCTCAACTTGTTGTCACCTCCGACCCTCCGACCCTCCGACCCTCCGCTCCAACTTAGATCCGTGCTCTAAGTCTTCCCCTTATTACTCCACCCCTATCAAATATCCTCCTTCACCCCTCTTCATTATCCTCTGCCTTTCCCGCCCCTACCAACATTCCCCTGTCCTATCCCCTCTCCGCATCACTCCCCACCTTCTCCGCTCCACTCCTAGTCGGCCCACCACTAGTAGCTCTTACCCCCCAACCCTCACAGTGGACCAAAGTGGTCCAATCGTCCTACCGTCAGACAATGTCGAACCCGCTCCAAATTCAGGGCACGTACTCGGCTAAGGGCGCAGTGCAAGAGCTGAAGCCAAGCCCCGACCCCTCTGCTTCCTGAGCCAGCACAGTACCTAACAGGTGGTAGGAAAGTGGGGGAAGTATGAGGTCAGGCAGAGCAGATATTAATATTGTTAGAGCGGTTGGATCAGGTATATGACAGAATCGGACGATGGCACTCTGACACATGGGAACACTACATTCACAAAAACACAGTATTGCTTCAGGCTTTACTGTTCCATGGATGAGCTTCAGTCCACATCAGCAAAACACTTTTTTTCCCACCACCAAAAAATGGCTGGCCACAGCTTGGTCCCTTCTGTACAGAGCTGTACAGAGCCCACAGAGGCAAAGTGATTTGCTGATGCATGATGTCCCAGTGTAATTATGTTTCTTGGTGCGTCTCTTTCATCACTTTGTTCACCTTTTTCTTATTTTACTTTCTCTTTAAAACCACTTCATTTCCCAACCCTTCCCTCCCTTTTCTTATACTGTATAGCGGTCAAGATGGTTTCTTTTGATGGGTCAGTTTTGGTTCTGAAAAGTTTTCTCCTTCACACCATGTATTACTACTTTTTTCATGGCAGTCAGGGTCTTTTCTCTCGGGTATTCTCGTTTCAGGCTCACTTGCCATGTATTATTAGTCACAATATTCATAGGACTCCCTGTTGTCTGTGCACCAGTTTTACTCCGCACTTTCTCTGCCTTCTGCACAGGCCAATAAGTCATGGATGCAATTGGATTACAAAATTTCTTATTTACATTGTCATTTTCCTGAGCGAAAAACTTCAAATATTGTTATCTATTTAGATAGGATTCGAAATCTTTGTCAAAAGGTGTTACTTTGCTTTGTCATTTCACCATTCATCTCAATTTGTCGTCGTTCCAATGTCGAAATTCGAATTGAAAATCCCTTATTTATCAATCCCATCTTGATTCAAGTCTGGCTTGCGGAAAAAATCGGAAACCGCCGATGTGTCAGTGACCATTGTTGAGCAAGATTCGTGACCAATGCTGGTTTGACGCCATTGTAGCGTTCAAAACCTTCTGCAAAGAGATTGTCCAGCTTCGTATGACGCACAATAGATATGTCGTGGGCCAATGGCGGTGTTCCCGTGCCCGCCGATGATTTTACATTCCAACATGTATTTGAAACCTCACTATGCTCCTGTGACGAATGCACGAACCGCGATAAGTACTTGGGGATCGGCTTTGCCATGAACGTGCCTCAGTTGTGACCTTCCTCGTCGATTTCGGCTCTGTACGTATGTATGCATTAACAGCCAAAGAGCTCTTGTGACGAATGCCGCCGGAACTATTCGTATCAATTCCTTCACATTGACATGGAAGTCCAAAACACCTTGTTAGGAATCAGGAGCTTTCTGTGGAATATAAAAACCGAGCATCTTCACAGATCAGACAACACCAACAACCCTCTCTAGTCTAACATAAACTCACTATCATCATGTTCACCCGCCTCTCTACTGGTTTCTGTGTTCTCCTTGGCTTGACGGCCCTTCTGGGCGTCAACGCTGGAGTAGTCCCAGTAAGCCTTGCTTCGCATCAAGTCTTGTCGTGTTGACATCGAGATACATTGTACACAGGTTGCTCGCGACGTAGAAGTAGTGAGCCTTGCTTCGCATCAAATGTCATTATGTTGACCTCACTATACAATGTGCGCAGGGCAGCTATGGTACATCAGCACTTTATGCAATCATAAGAGATACAGAACTTGACAAGCGTGTCGTGGTAAGCCTTGCTCCGCATCAAATCTCATCGTAGGACCTCACCAACAATGTGCGCAGGTGCGAGAGACTGAGCTGACGTCCGGGTTTGACACAAAGAGGGACATGGAGCTGACCTCTGGGTTCGAGACAAAGAGGTCGTATTCCGGGTACATATGGGGCGGAGGGTAAAAGACGTCCGGGTACGACACGTATGTTGAACGACTCTAGGTTACGCTGGAAATCCGATTCTGTCAGTTGTGCTGGTGGAACTGGCAGAATCGCCACTTGGAAATTCTGTAGAGCAATTTAAGCTAGTGTATTACGCAAACAAGGATATCAGTATGTATTGCGAATCAATTTCTGGGTACTTGATCGTCAGCATGCTTACATCCCAATGATCCTGATATCTCGGGAGAATATTCGAACGTTCGAGCATTCAACGTTTAAATCACCGAAATCTTCGTATATCATCAGGAAACATGTATGTCAATCAAAAGTACAAGCCAATAGACATACCTCTATGGCGCTGGATCTGTTCAACTATTCTTCACACGCAAAACTCACACACGCACAGACGTCACACACACACAAACGAGACGCACACACATAATCACTCCGTCGCATACACACTCTCGTACTACCATAGAAAAATTAGTACTGCACTATGATCATTCATAAAATTCATTGATGCCCCAAGGTATCCAACTCTGCACGTGTCAACATTGGGCCAGGCTCCGTGATCAGAGCTGCCGACAACTGCTGAGCCGTCTCCTCAATGAGATCAAAGGCTAGATGGAATGCCGCTCCTTTCTTCACTGTTTGAAGCAGGGTCTTCCAGCACTCTGGATTCACCCTTCCGATTTCGAACCCAAGCTCCTGGAAGCGCTCGACAGCGTCACGGAAATCTTGAGGATTGCGTCCATCAACGAGAAAACGGGCCATCGAGTTCCACCACAGTTGCCGCCAGTCAATGGAACATGTGGTGTTGTCAGTGCAGTATTGTGAAGTGCTCGATAATGGGCGGCTCCTCGCAGGCGACAATGCGGCAGTGCTCGTTGAGAAGCTCCTTTAAATCTACAAAGGCGTTCCATACTTCAAACCCAAGTCTCTTTCGCACTGGTCCTGGAATATCGCGGACGCGAAATTCAATGAGACGGCGAAAAGCGGGAACAAAGAACTTTTGAATTGAAAATTCAAGACAGAGTGCCAGAAGTTCATATGGTTTGTGTTGAAATCGATGTTCTTGAAGGTGATTAATGGCGACATCGCGAGCTTTTTGACTCATGAACTTGTTGCTGAACCGAAGAAGGTCGATAACATCATCATGAGTGGGACCCTCGGGTTTCCAACTGTACGGTAATCCCACATTTAGAATAAAGGCGGAAGCTTGAAAACTTGTCTCACCTGCTGTATGCAACTGAGAGGAACAGTTCGAACATATTCATGCTGAGTTCGGGGATGACAATTGGATAGTCGTCGCTCGAAGCCTTCCATGCCTTCCATTGGCTGAAATTGACTTCCAACAGAAAACATCTCCTTCGAATGCAATGGATGAGCGTGATAATTGAGTTGCATGGACCTTGAATAGCGCATTTTCGACCTGCATTTTGACCGTTAGTATTGTCAAGGGAAACCAAGCGAACAAAACAATCTGACCAAGAAAATGTGAGTACCCTCAAGTATATAGAAACGGCGGTGTCGAAACTTGAGAAGACTTGGAGCTGACGTGCCCATTGTTGGAGCCCCAAACATGATGGTCTACTATCTGTGAGATTCTAGAATATTTTGAGGCTTGGAGTCTGAGTTGAAGCACTGAAGGACGTAAATGTTGCTTACCACACCAAGTTTTTCACTTCAGTCACCTCTATCTTGCCAGTAGCCGACTATGGATCTTCCAGCCCTACCAGAACGTGAACATCGATGGCCACAAAACATCTATGCTGCAGATGGTATTATCCTGTAACATCTATAGCGCTGCGATTAGAATGCTTCGATCAAATGATGCGGAACCAACCAGAGTGGACGTACCATTATGATGCTACTGTCCGCAGAGGCCCTACCTTTGCTTGAAGCGATCGAAAGTGATTCAAGTCCTGCCGATTACCAGCTTCTGCACGACTGGCTACTAGCATGTGCTAGGCTTGTGGGGGAGGCAGGTGCGATGCTTAAGGATGTCAGCCGAAATCTTCATGCGTAAGTACCTCACCGGCCTGAAGCTCTACTGTCTGAATGCTATCACTTTAATCTAGGGAAAATGTTGGACAGTCAAATGTTATAATCCCAGAGCTTGTGACTCTGGACCATCAGGGACGTCGAGGGCATCCGAGAAAGAACATTAACCTTGAATTTGTCCATGAAGCCCTGTCTAACGAGCGTCACATCATGCTGCCAGATCTCGCGCGACTCCTCCAAGTGTCCCGCACCACTTTGTGGAAATTTATTCGTCAACATGGTCTTGAAAAGCGCTTCACGACGATTAGCGATACTGATCTCGATCAACTTGCAAGGACTTTCAAAGAACGCAAACCGGAGTCAGGATTCCGGTACCTTGTTGGCTTCCTTCGGTACCAAGGTATTCGAGTCCAGCAGCGTCGTGTTTGGCGGTCCCTGCACAAAGTCGACAGGCTGGGACAAAGGCTGAGAGAACGACAGTGTTACCAGAAGACGAAAGTACCAAGTTGCTCGACCGAATGCACTATGGCATATGGTGGTCATCACAAGGTCATTCGGTGGGGCTTTGTCATTCACGGATTCATTGACGGGTATTGTTGCACCATAAATCCATCAATTTATGAAAGCGACAAAATAAGTGTAATGACCTTACTTTCAACAGATAACAGCACTAAGGGCCAGCACAAATAATCGCGCATCAATGGTGTTGGAGTTGTTCATGCACGCAAGGAATGAGTATGGCATGCCATCTCGTGTTCGTGGGGATCGCGGAGGGGAGAACCTTCAAGTTTCTACGCACATGGTTGCGACAAATGGCCACAATCACGGCTCGTTCTTATGGGGATCGTAAGTGGAGCCCCCTGGAAATTTACTTGACTAACGATGCCTGATAGATCAACACAGAATTCTTGTATCGAACAATTGTGGGTTGAAGTCGGCACACAATTTGCACGCCGATGGCGGGCATTCTTTACCAGGCTTGAACGACTTCACAAACTTGATGTTGACAGACCTGGGCATCTTTGGCTCCTTAGCGCACTCTTCTTGAATGCACTTAACAATGATTGCCGACAGTTTCAACAAGAATGGAACTCCCATCCTATTCATGGTTCTGATACCAAGGATCAAAGCCCTCAGGTCAGTGAATACTTGGCGCCGCAGAATTATTGTCTCACAACCATGAAGGATATGCGCCTTCTAGGACAGGCGTCATTAGGCGTCTATGAAGATGAGTTTGAGGGGATACATCCTGCAATCCTGCAGCACTATTATGGTATTCATGGCAGAGAGTTGGTCTGCGGTCACAATCAGACAGGTGCTGGCCACCCAAATGACAAGTTGGATGAATCAGATGAAGATAGTATTATTGGCTGCATCGAGCAGGATCAAGCAAACGACGTCCAACATGACGCTGTTGAGGTCGCAGATGGTAATACTCCTTTTCAGAATGAAGAAGATGAAAATTTGTTCTTTGAAATACTTGAGGAGGTCGTCATGGATGGTATTGTACCAGAGGGATACAATTTACAGGAGGGGTGAAGATGAGTATGATGAAAACACAACTGAACATCTACAAGTTGGACGACGGAGGGAGAATTATGTTGAAGTAATCGTTAGCAGACCCTATCTGGAGGACTCGCTCACATTATGGGCTCAAGTGGCTAGCGTTCTAGGTCATTTTGAAGCAGATGTATTTTTCTAATTCAAATAGTACTTTACAAAATTCGAAATAGAATTAGGAAACCTACCACATACAAAATTCCGCACCTCGCCGGCTTGTTTGCTGTTCCGGTCCTCTCTTCCATCTCACTCGGAATGTCGAAGCAAGTTTAT